TGTACTGGTCAATAATAATCGTCAGACATAAAATGGAAAACTGATTTTTCTTATATTTTTGAGTGCTATACCCTTAAAAGTGACTAAGAACCAAAACTTGTATGGCTTCAGTTAAGATATAACATCGGCCTGAGAGGTGTTTATCGGCTATTTAACACCGGTTTGGAGTTTTGATGCGTAGGAATTCACCACGAAGGCAGTAAGTCTGAGTGGTTAACTCTTTTCGCATCAAAACGACAAAACCGGTGTTAAATAGCCGATATACACCTCTCAGGCCGATGTTATTTCGATTCTAACACGATAAAATAAGGAAGATCACTAATGTTATTTTTTCAAGCGGAAATAACTTCCGGTACCGATTTTTGTCTAACGCTGTTCGATTTTCGTACTGTTGCAAAGATATAGAAATTATTAAAGAAAAGAAATAAGAAAAAAAAACTTTATTTCATCAAGTTTTCAAAAAAAAACAACAAAAAAACTTGCGTCGTATTGTGTTTACACCAGTGCCCCATTTATCATTTTTGTATGAAATAACGTCAGCTTGTTTATGAATGAGTTGTTTACATAGGATGATTACGCTGCTTACGGATTGGCGCCGTTTTGTTAAAATATTCAATAACTGATATGAATCAAATTTGTGGCGTTAGTGTATGTGAGATATTATTTCGGTATTGTATGAAACGAAAAACATTATAAGAACTGAAAATATAAATAAAAATGCTTTTTATTGTTGCTTTAATAGGCTTTGTAAACAATATAATCGAGGGTGAAAACATAACAGTCGCATATACAAGTAGTCCCTAACCAGTGTTTATTGGCAGTTTAACACCGGGTTTTTCCTTCTTTGTCTATAGTGACAAATTTACGTGATTGTTAGAATACAGAATAACATATATATCTTTTAATCCACCAATTCTGATTAGCATAACATATGTTACAAACAGGTTATAGTACATATAATCAAATACATATGGTAACATTTGTAAATTCATTTACATGCATAAACATGGTACACTTCAAAGATTACAGAACATATAAATTACAAGAGTTTCATGAATTCGTCGATAGTATAAATGAATATATTAGCGAAAATTAAATCGAAAGCAAATATTCTACATTATACAACCGAATCAAAATTCATAACAGAACAGAACATAATCTTAAGTCTAGTTTCGGAACGAAAATACTAGAACAAAGAAGATGTGTTTCAATTCATCAACAACACACATGTACAATAAAAATTGCCAAATTGAAAGAGAGCATCCATATATATTGACATTTATGTAACATAAACAGACGGTCTATTGGCTTTAGTACAGATGCTACATTAAACAAGTAAGCATAGTCTATAGGCAAGTGCATGGTTGATAACCCCGTTCATTGAGCACAACACGGATACTTGTATAAGTTTATCATATTGATCCGAGGGCGACGTATCAATAAAAGAGTGATAACCTTTATATAAGTTGCCTACACATGTATATAAGTTTATGATTTTGCCTTGCAACATTCCAAAGTAAACAAGACTTTGAATTCTTGGAGAACATGGTATACAAGAAACTATATTGCTCAGTTAGTCTATTTGATAGTGTTCGTTCCCGAGACAATACACATTTTCTAAGTAAATCCTTCCAAGCATATTCTGATGGAAAATTGCCGTCAGCGTCATAACTGTCTAAAATATACTTCAAGTCATATTTTTGCAATATGCGATAAATGTCCGGTAAAAATCCGTGTGACTGTTTGTCGCCATTCAAAAAAGTGGAAAAGTATCTTATAGAAAAAATCCTTTTGCGAGGTATTTATTCGGCAGTTTACAAAGCTGACCTAAGAATTGTAGTTTTTTATGGTCAATTATTGTCACAATAGAATTTGAACCAATCGACAATAGAGTAAGATGAGTTGAGGTACACGGATGGAATGATTGAATATTCTTAAGGCAAAATTTATGGGATTGTTCTAGGCGTTGAATGTCGGAACAAGTGAGAGCAGACCAAAGTTCGCATACGCACAAAGACTTCGGAATGACGATGGAACTATACATCACCGTAGAAGAGATTGGGTTTAAGCAAATAGGACTGATTCCACTGTTCACAATGCTAAGATATGTCCGACTTAGTTTATTGCAAGAGTCCTCAACGATATCTTTCATCGAGAGAAATGAGTCTGATTTAATGCCAAGATGAACATAATTGGTTACTTCGTTAATCACTTCATTACCAAGTTTGAAAGCCCTGTTATTGTCTATTTTAAAGTGCTCATTGAAAGAATTAATTCCACATTTAGACGCATTGTACTCATATCTCCATTTCTTGGAATATCTGTGGCAAATATCCAGCATAATGTTAAGACCCGAAATTGAAAGAGACACCAAAGTTATATCATCTGCTACTGTTGGAGCATTTATGTTGTTATTGTACACACTTATGCCACAGTTGCTGTTTTCTAGTAAATTTATCAATTCATTTATATACAGTAAATATAGGATCGGGGAGCTTTTTCCTCCCTGCCTTGTGCCAAGAAGTACGGGGAACCAATCAGAATAAACGCCTTTATATCGAACACAACTGGTCATATTTTGATACATAGCACAGAACGCTAAGAAAATTGCAGTGTCAATATTTGTATCAAATAGTTATTTATGAAATAAACCATCATGCCAGACAGTATCAAAAGCTTTACGCCCGTCTAAAAATGACACATATAATTTTGAGCCATACTCTCTAGCGTAAAATATACTTTCTCTTAAAATGAATGACGTCATTAAGCACGAGAGACCGTCCTGAAATCCACCTTGTTGAATATTGATGGTAGAGAGAATATCATCTTTTGATCGTGCAATAAGAACAGATTCATGTGTTTTAAGACCTACTGGAACTAGGGTAATAGCCCGGTGATTGTCCGGATCGTCTTTTCTTTTATTACCTCCTTTATCATGTTTATGAAGAGTAATAATCACACCACGCTTGAGACTGTCTGGTACATGCGTTGAGCGTAACATTCTAGTGTTAATATTTGCTAATGCAGGGGAAACAACACTTTTAGCGTACTTATAATGTTTATAAGTAACGTTATCATGCCCCGCAGCTTTACCTTTAGGAATCGAGATTATTATATCAATAATTAGTTCAGGCGTTACAACCGCAGACTGGTCGGGAACTAAATTAGGTAACGTATCATGTAGGCGTTGCGATATCTCTGTCTTAAAGACATTGTCATAGTCATTATCAGTGTATTTTAAATGCTAACGTATTACTGACAAAGATAAATGTTAGTGACAACAACAATTGTACATTTTTAATGTCAATCCATAAGCCATAAAACATTTATTTTGGAAATGTGACATAGTCAACGTGCAGGTCTGGTTAACAAACAAAATATATCATTTCATTTTTCAGAACAATCTATTATTTTTGCTGTTCCCGTTGCACAGTCCCAGAGAATAATATAATATTATTATTAAAACAGTATATTTACAAATGTAAAATGAAGTCCGTATTGCCAAACTTAGCGGTTTTTTTCCTGTTTTTGTTTGGGGTCCGCCTGGGCTCATTGCCATTGGTTCCTGTTGCTGGGGGTTGTGTTCATTGAACGCCGCCTTACCTTGTTGATCTTGTTTATCATATTTTAAATTTCATTTACTATTTTTGTTAAAACAGAAATAATCAATGCCAAAAAGATGCTTCGGTTTGTAGCAATACAGGATGTATGGAAAGAATACATAAAATTAGTCAATGAAAACGAAAGTGCCTTGCATTATTAGCAGTAAGAAAATTTTGACGCTTACTTAATGTTGTTATATCACAAACCTCTTTAATCATTGAACATTTGTGCAGAGTAAACTTTGCCTTTTTAAAAATATAAAAAGAAAATACATATAGTACTTTGCAAATGTATGATTTGTGTGTATTATTTCAGGACACTGTTATTATATCAAATGCCATAGATTTTCTTTACACACCTTGTATTATTACTGGAATTATTGTTTGCATTGTACAGTAAAGAGAAATAAAAAAAAACCTATAATATGCGCGTGTTTGTGTGTTTGTGTGTGTGTGTGTGTGTGTGTGTGTGAAATTTTGACTCTAAGCGTGTTAGATTTTTAGTGTTTTTTCTTTCTTTCTTTATTTTTTGAAAGATTTTTTTTACATTTTTTCTTTGTGGAGTTTCTGTCGTATTTGCGTCATATCATTTGTTGAAATAGAAACATGCTCAGTTTTTTGTTCGTTTGTTTGCTTTGCTTTGGAGTTTGTCTGCTTCTTAGATGTAATTAGTGAATGTATTGTTAATGAATATGGATTTAAATGAGATAGATATATTCTATATTTAGTCACAAATGTTGTCTGTAAATGTATATGTTTTTGAAGTATGGAATAAATGGAAAAAGTTTGTTGGTAGAAGGATCTCATTGGGTAGAAGTGTAGTGCGATAAATCATAAGTCTGCCTTTCCTGATTTTGGAGTACTAGTAACTGCCCTTTGTCCATTATTTTTACACTTTGAACTTTGTCCGGGACGTAACTCTGAAACTATTAGAGATATTAAAATCAAACTTTGTAGATAGATAGATCGTATTTAATAAAATTGCAGCGCAACAGACACACATCTCTACCTTGCTTATATTTGAGTTATTGTCCTTTTTCAATTTTACAATGTGAACTTTGTCCGGGACAAACTGTTAAACTATCATCAAGAAACTAAGTCGGTAGATAGATCTTATTCCGTAAACATGCTGCTCAAATAACAGTAACTCTACCTTGCCAATTTTGGTAATTATTGCACTTTGAATGTGTCCGGGACATTACTATGAAACAACAAGTTATTTACCTTTCTGTGTCCAGATCCTATTCGAGGAGCATCACCCGGTTCAAACCGGCTCTTGTTTGCCTGTTTATCCTGTCCTGTTTGGTGGCCAACTTGGATCCCTGCCGGTGGATCTATGTTGGGAGCTGCGGTCATTGATGCCGCCCTTCCTTGTTGATCTTGTTTTTTATGTTTTAAATGTTTTCTTTCTTTTTGAATATTAAAGGAGGGACAATAGACATCACTGTTCATGAAGTATTGAGAAACAGGAATCTTAAAGAACTTCACAAAGCAAGTGGTGGAGCATGGGGTGGGACTAAGGTTGATGAAGCTTTCAAAGCCTTCCTGTCAGAGATAATAGGTGGGTACTGGGGATATCTTTATTTATGTTGGAACACATGGTTATTATTAATTAAATAATTGCCTAAATTGCGTGCGAATCAATTTTTATTACAGAATATGGAACTTGTATTTTTACTAATTGGATTTTGCAAAGCAATAACTTAATAAAGCCGGTAGCGATCTGCACAAGTAAACAATAAAAAAAAATTAATAATTTGAAATACCAACTATATGTACAATTAAGGTACAATGGCCTTATTGTTACATACCTCGAATTTTAAAGTTTATGTTCGGCTTTATATAATGGCATTGTATTAACAACGTTATAATTGGTCATATTTCTTAATATACTCAATTGTTAATTCAGTGCATATAGCAAAAATGCATGATGAAAATATATTGTACCGAAACAAATCGTCATTTCTTTTCCTTCACTAGGTCAGAAAGGGGTAGAAAAATTCAAAAAAGATTGCAAGGAAGATTACATAGACCTGTTTCGAGATTTTGAAACCAAAAAGAGAGATATAGCTCCAAGAAAGACTGAAAAAATCACTTTGAAGATTCCAATTACACTTGTTGAAAAAGCAAACGAAACAAGTGGTAGAACTATGGAAGAGTGTATTGCAAGTTCAATGTATAGAGAAAAATTAGTCCTATTTAAAGACAAAATTAGGATAGAAGCTGATGTTATGAAAGGTTTCTTCGACATTCCACTTCGGAGTATACTCAATCATGTGCAAACACTTCTGGCAGAACCAAAAGTTAAAGATTGCTCGGCAATTGTTATGGTTGGTGGGTTTTCTGAGTCTCCAATGCTGCAGGAACATATTCAAGATCACATTCCAGACATGAAAATCATCATTCCAGACGAGGCTGGGTTAGCTGTTTTAAAAGGAGCTGTTATATTTGGTCACAACCCGACAACTATTGCTGAGAGAGTTTGTAAATTTACTTACGGCGAAAAAATGTCTCATCTGACCACGAATGACTGCACTCATCCGAAATTACACACAGAAATTGACGATAACGGCGAGATGAGATGCTTTGATAATTTTAGGATTCATGTTAAGATAGGTCAGTCTGTTAAACTTGGTGAAGAGCAAGAAGAACTACTTTCATCACCTATTTATGACACTCAAACAGCAATTGATAAGCAGATATATATTTCTACTAACCCAAATCCTGTTTTTGTCACTGATCAAGGTTGCAGCAAAATTGGTTCGTTCAGCGTTCCAATTCCCGACACGTCATTAGGCAAATTAAGAGAATTTGGAACAACATTTCTTTTTGGAGGTACAGAGATTGAAGTAAAAGTTGTTGACAAAGCAACTGATGAAGTAACAACAAAATCTGTTGATTTTCTTGGTGGAATTTGATAGTAAAATATTTACGACTCTGTATAGACAACAAGCTATAAGTATTTGCTTTAATACAAATATTTTCAAGCAGATTTTTTAAATTGCAATTTCTATGCCAATGTTGTTCTTTACACGTGTGGTTCTTCTTATTAATAACTGTCATTGAATATATTGTTTTGGTACATGCTAAAATGATTCGTCGAAACAAGCAGTAACAATGACTTTGTCGTCTTATTAATAAACGGAAGGGACACTTTTTGAGGGACTTTTAGTTTCAATTTTACTTTAAGTTTTGAAACATAAATAAGAAAGATAAAATGAAAATAGTATCTCATACAGTGATCAAAATCTATTTAGTGCAACTTCTATGCTAGTAGAGTGTTGAGTATTTATGTAAAAAATGTACCAATATAAAACCATATACCTTTTAGTCATGCTTTGTAATATGTTTTGTAATATGTGATCATGTTGCATATGATTTAGTTAATAACATTGAATGTATAATATTTGAATAAATATCGCCACGAAAGGGCTGTTAAATGTTGGTAACAAGAATACTTAAACTGTATGTACAGAGGATATTCAAGCTTTTTATATCGATACAAGATTTATGTTTATCGAGTAGTATGAAAATAAATATTTCATGAATAGCAGTAGACACATGTAAGAAGATGAAAACCGATCCTGTATGTACTGAAAAACTTGAATTTTCTGTTTATTACATACTTTATTCTATCATTAAACATTACACTGTGTGCATTGAGTCAGACTGAATTTAGAAGAAATTAGCCCAGCAAGACACCAGAGGAAATAAGGAAAATATGTTTCACTGCAGTGAAAAAGAAGTGTTTCCAGTGAAAAATTCAGAAAACTATAATATGTGTTTTATTTCATCAATATTTTTGAATTTGTCATTTTAAAAGTATATTATAAACATACTTACTAAATAATTACAACTTATTAACAATACTGACTTAAAGTTTCTTACTTAATTATATTTACTTAAATTTGATAATAGCTTTTGACATTTAATAGATACATGTATGATGAAATTATTTTATTGCTTTATATCTAAGAGGTACTTTCTTATTTCGAATATCGGTGCCTTGAGTGATTTCTAAAAAAATTATATTTGTTTTGAAGAGCAAACTTTTAAGGTTACAAGTATGTTTTGTAATCGGACTAATAACTGTTAAGTGCTCGCACTGTTAAGTGTCGCTGACTTCTATTGTGTATATACATGTACTATCTACTGAATAAATATGAATCAAGTTTGAACAAAATATCTCCAACCATTTTGATCGTTTTATTCAATGAGCATATAAAGAGTTTGCTAACATGATAACATTGGGTATGGATGAGCAGTAGCCATGCTTTCATGACTGTTCTGCTAGGCGCTGTGCCGTAATTGGACTGGCATATCGATGTGGTGGTATGTGTGTATATATTCTCTCAATTCTATAACAATTTATCTGCACACTTGTATCTTTATCTGATCCCACGCAGGGGAAAGTATAACTGTATTTTGAATAAAATTATCTCCCTTTATATATACTTTAATCTACGGATCCACTTGATCTTACGGGATCCAGTTAACTTTCGGAAATAGATATATAGTTCTCTGGTCCCAATCAGTGAAGAAGACTATAAAAATGTCATCGTTGATTTGTGAGACATGATAACAGAGAACAAACTCTATATATGAAAATGTTGAGCATGTTTCAATGTGTAGTGCAGTTTGTGACTGTATATAAAGCTGTTCTAAATCCAGGGGCCTCCGCGGCCGCGTGGTTAAGGTCGCTGACTTGAGATCACTGGTCCCTCACCGCTGTAGGTTCGATCCTCACTTGGGTCGAAATCTTTCATGTGAGGAAGCCATCCAGCTGGCTTACGGAAGGTCGGTGGTTCTACCCGGGTGCCCGCTCGTGCCTGAAATAATGCCCGGAGGGGCACCTGGGGTCTTCCTCCACCAATAAAAGCTGGAAAAAAATCGACGAAAAAATCTTGGCGGGACGCTCTAGGATGGCCCGACTTGAGTGTACGGTCGCCCATATGGGCTTTCCGGTGGCGACCTTAAATAAACGCATTAAAAAAAAATCATTTTTGTGATGGTGGATGAGCAGTGGCTATGCTTTCATGACTGTTCTGCTAGGCGCTGTGCCGTAATTGCACTGACATATCGATGTGGTGATATGTGTGTGAGTATATATATATATATATATAGCTTCAATCAATATATATATATATAGCTTCATCAGCTTCATGTGCTTTTTTGTAGTTTAATTGTTCTTTAATTATTAAGGACTTGAACAATAAACCGTGCATTCTAGTACTATGCACAAACCAATAAGAATATCTATTTTCATTCTAACATACTAAAAAAAAAAAGAATTGATAAATATGAATATTAAACTACAATAAGCTGGGGAGTTTCTACGTAACTTTAATTATTGACGTCACATATAATCATAACGTATAAGCATCAATTCCTTTTGCCATATGTAAGGATGCTGTATGAGT